CAGTGAGACAACATACGTTTTATGGCTTTAATAACGCTTTAAAAATGAATATTGGATGAAAATGAATACGGTTCATAAATAAAGTATAATAGTATATTTACAAAATACTTTTCTCATCATCATTATTACAATCATACTTTCCGCTAAGTTTTTTTTAAGGTTTTATATTGGCGTGACCTTAATTATTAAGCACTCTTTTGATGGACCAAACTTTACCTGCTAAATGGAGGGCTTTAGGCCCACTACATAACGTGTGACATACGACTCGGCATTGTAAGAACCATATTCTCTAGTAATACCATAGCATCTGTATTAAAATAATCCAACCGTACAACCTTAGCAAGCTTTGCTATGTTCTGTACAGGTTACAACACCCAAAAAAAATGTTAAACTTGTCAAAACCTGTAAAAACTGTATATATAATCTTTTTTACTTATGCGTTACGCATAATATTATTATTTATATGTTATTATACAGGGTGTTCATTTGAAAACTTTCCATATCTGTTGTGTGCAAAGGTGAGGCTTTTTACACTTGTTTGTTCTCATTTCCCCCTAATTTGGACATGCCAAATCCAATAAAATTATTTTCAATTTCGAAAAATGCCCCAAAAGGGCCCAACTCGGGGGGTAGGGGTGTTTTTTGAGAAATTTTCAAATGTAAACATGGGTTGTGTGATACATCAATTTAAAGGTCTAATCATCCCGACTATTTTGGTGCAATAAAAATGTAATTATCTTTAACCGTATTTACAGGGTGGGTCAAAACGTTTTAAAAAAGGACTTTGAGGTTATGTACCGTATTAACCGAACTACTGAACGTAACAGCGCCAAATTTATTTCCAAGCTTATTCTTGATCTACTCTTTAAGATAACTTGTAAAAAGGGCATTTTCCATGTTATTTTCTAATTTTTAAAAAATCTAAAATTTGAAGAATAAAAGAAAGGTGAAAACTCAAAATTCTTAAATAGCAAGGTATAACAAATTTCATACCACGTGAAAGGTCCTTTTTTAACAAACATTTTACGTATTTAAGTTTTCTTTCTATCTCTTACAGTTTAAAAATTGCAGCAGAAAAACTGAATTTTCTATGGTAAAATTATAACTAGTTTCCTAACAAAACACATTGCACTTTGCTCAACGATGATTTATGATTAACTACAAATTGATCAACTACTTTTACTTGTGTCAGTACATCTTTGACCCTTCATCCTGTTCTTTTCTCATTGGTAACTGGGCCAGTTTCAGAAATTTCTTAACTAAATCATTTACAGCTTTATGACTTAAGGTCTTACCTGGATATTTGTTGTTAAACACTTTGCAGTTATCCTGAAACACTTTTGTTCTGCCCAATAAGTAAAAATAAAGTCTATTTTTTAAGTGTACACCATATTTGATTAGATACTACAGAAAATAGTACTTTTTGAAATTAGTACTACCATTGACTAGTCAAAGGTACTACAGAAAGCGGCCCACATGTAGGTTGTCCTCATCAGCTATAAGACTTGTTTTTCACAAATTAAAACATAATGACTTGTTTGTAAATCAGGGTATCAATAATTATGAATTGTTTCCTTCAGTTAATGCACCATTAAATGTGTCTAGAGACGAATTTTGGCTGTTTTATTAGAAAACTAGTTACAATATTACTATGGAAAATTCAGTTTTTCTACTGCAATTTTTAAACGGTAAGAGATAGAAAGAAAACTTAAATACGTAAAATGTTTGTTAAAAAAGGACCTTTCACGTGGTATGAAATTTGTTATACCTTGCTATTTAAGAATTTTGAGTTTTCACCTTTCTTTTATTCTTCAAATTTTAGATTTTTTAAAAATTAGAAAATAACATGGAAAATGCCCTTATTACAAGTTATCTTAAAGAGTAGATCAAGAATAAGCTTGGAAATAAATTTGGCGCTGTTACGTTCAGTAGTTCGGTTAATACGGTACATAACCTCAAAGTCCTTTTTTTAAACGTTTTGACCCACCCTGTAAATACGGTTAAAGATAATTACATTTTTATTGCACCAAAATAGTCGGGATGATTAGACCTTTAAATTGATGTATCACACAACCCATGTTTACATTTGAAAATTTCTCAAAAAACACCCCTACCCCCCGAATTGGGCCCTTTTGGGGCATTTTTCGAAATTGAAAATAATTTTATTGGATTTGGCATGTCCAAATTAGGGGGAAATGAGAATAAACAAGTGTAAAAAGTCTCACCTTTGCACACAACAGATATGGAAAGTTTTCAAATGAACACCCTGTATAGTTATTTTGAGCAAGTGTAGCTGATAACTTTATGAAATTAGAAAAAAAAACGCAAAATGCACCTACAGTCATTGCACTAGTCTAACTTTGAAACACCAATAGATATAATAGCAATAAAACTGACTATAACTGGTACCCGCTGTTAGAGAAATTGCATTATCAAATCATGAGGACCTTATTGGATCTAGCCCAACGATTGTTCGGAGACACTATCATCTCTAAAGACTGGTATTGGAGTAGTTTTCAATCAATAACTTATTGAATGGCATTAACTGAAACAGTTAAATTTACTTGCATGTTTTTTAACACAGCCATTTCTTTTTGAGTGATGTCCTATTGTTTAATTTATTTGTCCCGTAAATGATGTACTATTTCGGGACCGCGCCGAAGTTGGACAACGACACGCGGACAACGATAAAGTTGGACGGATCAAGTTTCCAGGATTGTCGTTTGCATGCAACGTTACACTTGGACACTTTTGAATGTGTCCAGTTTCATCGTGTCGTGCAACGCCACCCCTTGACAACTTAAACACGTGTTCAGGTTCGTCGTTTGCGCGCAACGTTAAACTTGGACACATTTGAATGTGTCCAGTTTCATAGTGTCGTGAAACGCCACCCCTGGACAACTAAAAAATGTGTCCAGGTTCGTCGTTTGCGTGCAACGTTAAGCTTGGACACATTTGAATGTGTCCAGGTTCAACGTTGTCTGCTTTTATCGTTGTCTGATTGAGGCGGTTTCTGATTTATCGTAGTCCACGTTTAACGTTGTCTAACTTCGACATCGTCCCACTATTTCCACATTACTTCCATATTACGTAAACAAAAGTTTTGATCTCAATTTGGGTCCAGGAAGTGTAAAAGAAATATATTTCTCCCACAGTCACCTAACGAAGTGGGCTTCCTTGCACAGATTATAGTACATTACTTACCTTGTACCTTATAGTGACCTTACTTTGGCGCACAGTTTTTACTTTGGCGCACACCAGTATTCCAACCAAACAACACAAAACAGCGTGATTTTATTATGCACGTAATCCGTTTACGCTTGAAAATGAGTTGGCAACACTTAAAGATATTACGATTACGATCAGCTGGTGCAGCGTTTCACTTTTCCTTCAATGATTGGATTAAACCTAGCCTAAAAACGGGTTGTATAATGTTTGAAAGACTAACTATTTATATGATTTATAGTAACTGTAGAAAACACAGGATGATCCAAAAAGAACTGACAAATTTTAACAACTTTTTTTCTAATTCAACTACATGCTAACATGTACGTACAGATAGAAAAACTCAAAACGTTTTTGGTGATAAATTGGTTCTAGTCTGTGGTGATATTTAATAAATCTCAATATGACCATAAAATTAAGGCTCTACTTGCGTCAAATTGAAATTTGACCTTGAAATTTGAAATTGAAACCTCCCGCCAAACATTAACAAAGGTGTATGATGTGCTAAATTTAGATTTAACGCCGGTACGCAGCCTTAAACGGTGGCCATATTGAGATTTATTGAATATCAACAAAAACTTCTTGAGTTTTTCTATTTGTACTTATGCAAATGTAACCATTTAGTTAAAATATTTAGATTAACATTTATGTTAAAATTTGTCAGTTCATTTTGGACCACCCTGTATAATGTGTAACACGAGTGCAAACTGCCATTGCTGCACTCGTAAACATTCCTCTCGTGTACAGCAAAGCGCCATGTCACCCACTAGTTACACAGATAACTATTACCATTTAGAAAGTCATGTGCCTCTGCCTTTATTGTAGTAAAGGGTGAGCTGACATAAAGTTTTTCACAAAATTATGTTCATATTTAAAAATTTTTGAATCATAGTTATTATACAACAAACAATAAACAAGACGACGGAGCCCAAACTTTAAAGGGAATAATTATAAGTATACTAATAATAGTAATGAACATTGAATTTTGTTAGAAATGATTATTAATAAACTGTCTTCTTTGTTAATATATGGTATTTTCGAAAAGTAATTGTTTTTTATCATTTATAACCAAAGAAAAGGACAAAAGGAAGGCAGAGCTCTTCCTGAGAACCAGTGGGTGGAAGATCAAATACTCAATTCTGAACTTTGATAGAAAATCAACAACGTATCACGGTATCTACCTTCCCACAGAAAATCGTTTTCATTCAAAATACTTGACGTAAATGGATTCGTTTTAGTAAATACGTGGTTCATTGGATAATATAACTAGATACCAAGGTTTATAAAATTAAAATAAAAAATTGCTATGCATTTTTGTATTTGTTTGAATGTTAACAGATTTGTATTCTTGTTCGTTGTTCAGTAAACTTTAACCATTCATATTATTTAACACTCTATGTTTTATTTAATGTACATCTCTTTTCCTTGCAACTAACATGTGTTCTTAATCAAATTAAATTATTCTCTATTGCTAACACATGTTGTGTATCAAAAAGTAAATAAAACAGTGCTTGTTCTCCTATCCCAAAAGTGTGTTCATTTTTTTTCTCCCTTTTATAATCTCCATTTAATTTCATTCTCTACAAAACATTCATTGGTCCTAATCGAGCCTGGATTTTGAATTTCAGTCTTTGGATTCAATTTTCAGAACACTTTCAAGCTATCGAAATATCTTTATTTTATCATTCAATCTCTTTATGTTTCTCCCCACTCTCATAGTGTCACAAACTCTATCTAATTCTTAGTAAAGTTTCACTCCATCTGTTTTGTCCAATATGGCTACCAGATCAATTTCACTCTCAAACTTCAACAAATCAACCCTTCTCATACAAAATTCTTTTGAAAAGATTCTCAAATCTGTACAAGAGCTTGAAACGCTTTCCCCCTCAATCTTGTCAGTGATACAAATCAGAACTTTAAACAACTTCTCGAACCAGTTAGAAAAGAAACATGAAGCCTATGAAAATTACCTGGAAAGAGCCTTGGAACATATATCAGAAGAATTAGATTTGGATGCAGTAAGTGACACTGAAGACAAACTGCGACTGCTATTCGTCGAAGCCAAGTCTCGGATTGAAGCCCTTCTCCAACAGCAGCCGCAAGATGTTCCAGAAGAAAGTAAAGATTCAACAAGAATTAGTGACATCTCAGCTTCATCATCTGCTCATGTAAGACTCCCAAAACTAGACCTCATCACGTTTGATGGTTCTCCTCTACAGTGGGTAAGTTTCATCAACTTATTTGACACTAGCATCCATCTGAATGAAAGCATTTCAAACGTCACTAAATTTCAATATCTTCTCAGCGTGCTCAAAAATGAACCACTAAATCTCGTAAAAGCTTTCAGTATCACTTCAGCCAATTACTCAATTGCCTATCAGCTCCTCAGAGACAGATACCACAACACCCGAAGGTTAACTACACTTCACCTCAACAAACTGATCGACCTACCGGACATTTCCTCTACCTCAAACAAATGTCTCAGAACGTTCCTCAACTTGTTTTATGAACACACAGAAGCACTTAAAGCTCTTGACTGTGACATTACTTCTAACTCTAACCCTCTGTTGTCCACCATACTCTTACGAAAACTAGACAATGACCTTCTAAAACAACTAGAGGCTTTTAGAATTAATATAAAATGCGAAACACATTCTCTACCAGAAGTAGTCGAAATAGTCAAGTTTCTTAATCAAGAGTGTAACCAAATGGAAGACGCTGTGTTACGTACCAAGTTTGCTCAAAGTACGAACAACCACAATTCAAATTTTAAACCCAAATCTTTCACATCCAAGCCCTCTTTCATTCAAGCTCAGAAAGTTACAATGGTCTCTACTCCAACTCCATCAAATCAAGACAACTCAAAAAATCCTTTCTCATTTCCCTGCTTTGTCTGCTCATCAACTGGCCACAAGGTTTATGCTTGTCCTAGCTTTCTCTCTCTTTCTTCAAATGAACGTTTTAAAACCGTAAAGGACAACAACAGATGTGTCTCTTGCCTCGGAAAACATGATGTTAAAACATGTAAGTCTAAAGCATCTTGCTTCAAATGCCACAAACGTCATCACACCTTACTTCATTTTGAACATGACAAGACATCTCAAGGTTCTACATCATCACAACCATCAACCACTCATGTTTCGAATGAAAAACCTACCGTATCTCTTTGCTCACAGGAAGCCAGTCCTGCTAATCAAATCCCTAAAACTGTAATTTTAGGCACAACACTGGTTAAAGTTACTGCTCAAAATAACGTTTCTCATGTGTTCAGAGCATTGATTGATAGTGGCAGCATGTGTGATTTTATTAGTGAAAAAGCTGCTCAACTACTGAATGCACCTCGTTTCAAATCCAACTTACAAGTAGTTGGTCTTTCTCAATCTCCAACTCTCACAAAGGGTATTGTGAACCTCACTGTTAACACACTGGCAGGAAAATTAGTTGCATCCAACCATGAAGTGCACATACTTGATAAAATATCTGTCAATCTCCCTAGATCTCAAATATCACAAAGAGTTCTATTGAAAGTAAAACCTTACCCCCTTGCTGATCCCAGCTTCCACTTATCAGGGCCCATTGACATGCTGATCGGAGCTTCTCTCTTCCCTCTTCTTTTAACGAATGAAAACTATTCTCTCGGCCCTAACATGCCTAACATGATGGGAACTCACTTTGGCTTTGTTGTTATGGGGAATGCACCTTGTTCAACCGATTCCCAGCCTGCCAACACTCCATCCATCTCTCTGCTCTCAACGGTTGACAACGAATTGCATAACTCTCTACAGAAATTTTGGAAATTAGAGGAATTATCTGTACCCTCAAAGATATCGGTTGAAGAGCAACAGTGTGAAGATCTGTTTAAAGCTACCCACTCTAGGGACGAAAATGGCCGTTACTTAGTTCAGCTACCATTTAAAGAAAATCATCCACCTTTAGGATCTTCCAAACTCATCGCAGAACGACGTTTTCACTCACTTGAACGACGTTTTACACTCTCTCCTGATTTGTATAAAGCTTACTCTGACAATATAAATGAACACATCTCTCAAGGTCATATGGTAAAACTACCTCATCTAGATATCAACTCTCCTCACTATTTCTTGCCACACCATGCAGTTGTGAAACCATCCAGTACCTCAACTAAACTCCGAATCGTTTATGATGCAAGCTGCAAAACCAGCTCTGGAATTTCCCTCAATGATTCTCTCATGACCGGCCCTAAATTACAGACAACATTTGTGATATATTGCTACATTTCAGAACACACAATATCGTTTTCACTTGCGATATTCGCCAAATGTATCTTCAAATCTTAATCAAACCTTCCGATCAACTGTTCCAACTCGTCTTGTGGCGTGACAATCCCTCTGAAGATATATCCACATACAAACTCACTCGAGTGACTTTTGGAGTAAATAGCTCACCCTACTTAGCGATTCGTACCCTCCACCAGTTAGCTGAAGACGAAGGTAAAGACTTCCCTGAAGCAGCAAATGTCTTGCGCACTCAGACTTACGTAGACGACATTGTAACTGGAGCAGACACGGTAGATGAAGCAAAGAACCTTCAAAATCAACTAATTCAACTACTCAACCGTGGACACTTTGAACTTCGAAAATGGACTTCAAATTCTCCCGAGCTTCTTCAGTCTCTTCCAGACACTCATAAAGACTCTCCAGTCTTTCTTGAAAATACACCTGATCCCCATTTCTCAATTCTTGGCCTACACTGGTCTCCAGACTCGGACAATTTTTCATTTCATCTCAACCTACCGCCAAAAACACTAACTAAACGTCACGTTCTCAGTCTAGTCGCTAAAATATACGATCCTTGTGGATTTCTTAGCCCATGTACTATGACAGCGAAATGTTTTATTCAACTTCTCTGGACGACCGGTCTACAATGGGATGAACCTCTCACTCCAGAACTTAGTGCAATTTGGAGTAACTTTATCTCAGCGATACCAGCACTTGCAGACATTCAGATCCCTAGAGCATTGAAAATCTCTCCAAATTCTAGTGTTGAACTTCACGGCTTCTCAGACGCCTCTAAACGTGGGTTTTCAGCTGTTGTCTATGTACGATGTTCCCAACCCAACGGAGAAGTGACTACACGTATGGTTTTATCTAAAACTAGAGTCGCCCCTCTCAAGAAGGTGACTCTTCCACGATTAGAACTCTGCGCTGCCCACTTATTAGCTCAACTCGTAAACTTCTGTTGTTCTTCATTCAAACCCTTAATTTCACTCAACCAATGTTATTTGTGGTGTGATTCTTCAGTAACCTTGACATGGCTTCAAACTCCATCTTACAGGCTGAAAACATTCGTGGCTAACAGAGTCGCCCAAACACAAGAACTTGTCCCCTATCACTGTTGGCGTTACATCCCTAGCAAGGAAAACCCTGCTGATTGTGCTTCAAGAGGTATTCTAGCCACTGAGCTTGTGTCTCACCCCCTTTGGTGGTCAGGGCCTTCTTGGCTTTCTCTTCCCCCTTCAAACTGGCCTGATGTAACTTTTTCACCTACAGATATCTCAACATTAGATGAAGTAAAACACACTCCTATAACTGTACTTGTGTCAACTACCACTGAATCTACGCTGACCAATCTTCTCATTAAATATTCTTCATGGGAACGACTTCTTAGGATTTTTGCTTACGTCCTTCGTTTCATACACAACTGTAAAGGTTCTGAAAAACGCCAAGGTTTCATCTCAACACAGGAACTGAAAGACACAAAATATCACATTTTTAAACTTGTACAAAAAGAAGTATTCACAGAAGAAATCAACTGCCTCAAACGGAAATCATTTTGCTCCACTCGTTTACAACGTCTTTCACCTTTCATTGACTCATTTGGATTATTGCGTGTTGGAGGACGTCTTTCTCAGACATCACTTCCTGAAGATGCTCGACATCCCATTATTCTGCCAAAAAAGCATCATGTGGTAAATCTCCTCATTGACCACTACCATATCTACAATCTTCATTCAGGCCCTCAGCTTACTCAAGCATTACTTTACAAACATGTTTGGATACTGTCTGCCCGTTGTGCCATACGCTCTCGTATCCATAAATGTGTCAGATGTTTCAAAGTCAAACCTAGAAATGTGTGTCCTCTCATGGCTGATCTCCCTCAGTCTCGTGTAACTCCTGCTCGACCTTTCCTCCACACCGGCATAGATTATGCAGGGCCTTTTACTGTTAAAATCTTCAACCTCAAGGCAGTGAGACACATAAAGTCATACTTTTGTACTTTCATCTGCCTCGTCACGAAAGCTGTACATTTGGAAGTAGTAACAGACCTAACGACTGAATCTTTCATTGCTGCAATGACTCGATTTGTATCTCGCAGAGGACATTCTTCCGACATTTACTCGGATTGTGGGTCCAACTTCATTGGTGCTGACTCTACCCTACGCAAGATTGTTGAAAAATCTCTTTATTGTCAAGACTCCAAACGGAAGATTCAACGATTCTCTTCACTTAAAGGCATCAATTTTCATTTTAATCCACCAGCCGCTCCGCATCAAGGAGGATTGTGGGAATCGTCTGTAAAGAATGTGAAACATCATCTCCGTCGAGTAATGGGAAACTCAGTCTTAACACTCATTGAATTCATCACATTGTTGACCCAAATCGAAGCAATGCTCAATTCCCGACCACTGACACCTCTTTCAAATGATCCTTCGGATCTCGCAGCACTGACTCCCGGACACTTCCTGATTGGTGCACCCCTCACAGCAGTACCTGAACCTAATCTCCTGACAGTTCCTGAAAACCGTCTCAAGCAATGGCAGCTAGTTCAAGCATTTCATCAACGCATATGGCATAGATGGCACCTAGAATACTTAAACAACTTGCAACAACGTACCAAGTGGACTCGGAAATCAAAAAATCTTGAAGTGGGTGACCTTGTTCTGGTACATATGGACTCACCACCTCTCTCGTGGCCTCTCGCTCGAATTACAGCAGTTCATCCAGGGGCTGATGGGGTTGTGCGAGTGATAGACTTAAAAACATCAAGTGGCAACCTCAGAAGATCTGCCCACAAAGTGTTTCCCCTGCCAACTGTGGATTCGTGAACTGTTTTTGTTGAATCCACTGGGGATTCAAGGCCCCCGGTATGTTCAGTAAACTTTAACCATTCATATTATTTAACACTCTATGTTTTATTTAATGTACATCTCTTTTCCTTGCAACTAACATGTGTTCTTAATCAAATTAAATTATTCTCTATTGCTAACACATGTTGTGTATCAAAAAGTAAATAAAACAGTGCTTGTTCTCCTATCCCAAAAGTGTGTTCATTTTTTTTCTCCCTTTTATAATCTCCATTTAATTTCATTCTCTACAAATCATTCATTCGTAATTAAATTAAATGCTTACAACTATATATACTTTCAATTACTTGGATTCATAGCTACGAATAGACTAATTCGTTTTTATGTCTAATAATCGATTTAACGTAATCAAAAAGTTAAACTGTGAATACAAAGAAAGTTTCAACTGAATAAAAGCTTACAAAGACGTTATAGAGTTTTATTTTATTTTACAGACAAACACGTGAACATAATGGACAAAATCATGATAAAAGAGATCGTAAAAACAGATGACCACATTGGAACCCTAAAGCTTGGATTTGTTCTAGGGTGGGGAAGGAATTGAATGTGTGTGCCACAGTGGCTTGCCAGTAGACATTAATGTTATGAGGTTGGTGTTTGTATAGAGTGTTAAATATTGTCAAAATCTTTTGTAATATTTACTACCAAAGTATGCAACGTATTTTTTCTTGAAGTTTTATCCATGCATAACGCAATCCTTCCATCGTTGTATTTTAGTGAACACATTTGTATGGATATATTTGTAACACAATTTTAAAACGAACCCCAATAATGTAAATTTTTTTATACATCGGTATTTTTAATACTGTACTTTAATTGGGCTGCATTAAAATGCACTTAGTTAAATTCCATTACTTAAAGTTTCTATTTGTTAACATATTTTTTATGAAAGTCTGCCTTTTTTTCAATCTCATTTTAAGATGTTCTTAGTGTACCAGTTTGTTTATTATTCGAAATTAAAACCTTTTTTTCAAACAAATGTTTTAGTGAATAGGAGAGTAAAAACTGTTCCTGTCCTAAATACTAACAGAGAGCCATTATGACTATTTATAGGCTAGGCATTCGTAATGTTTCAGAAAGATTTTATACATATAGCTACATATATTAATTTAAGTGATATATATTGACCGTGCCACGGTTTGTATTTGCATTAAATTGTCTTTAAGTTTTTTTTTTATACTTGATGTGATAAAGCTCTTTGAGTGAAAAAATCAACAAAGCAGGATTATTGGAATACATTTCTTTGCAGAGCCTATGACAAATCCTAAATGGTTAGTAGATAGATGTAAAGTTTACCTTTATTATTTAAAATTATCATTACGATTCTATTTATAATTATATCACATCCTTTATTGTGTTTTTATTTTAATAACTACTAATTTGAAGTAAATGTATTTTCAACAGGCCTATGCACCGATCATCTATCATCATTCGGATACACATGACGAAAAGTTTCTGGTGGCCCATCTCTCACGCTGAAATACTAAATTAGTTCAATTTAATCGTTTGGTATTAATTTTTTATGTTTTTTTAGTGGTTGATGAGTAAATACAGTGCTAGTCGAGTAACCAGATTTCCGAGGTAGAAATTGTAATCCCGAAAGAGATCAGTAATTTTTGACGGTAAAAAACTGGATCATCCGTTCTTTGTCATTGAACTTTTAGTAAAGGGTACTGGGCTATACCACCAACATATGATCTAAGTTAGTAACAAGGGTTATATCAAATAGCTTAACAATCTCTCCTTATTGCTATTTAGGTTTGACATAAATAAACGGAAATAAAATCAAATATTTAATAAGGAATTGTATTAAAACAAGCATATTCGTGAAATTGTTTCATACTCTAACCTTGGTCAAACCGACAAGGTGTACAAGTTGTGGACTGCAGCATAAGCATTCAATTTCTTAATAAGCCAAAACAAATCCAAGCTTAAGAGCTCCACAACGGTCATCCGTTTTTACGATGTCGTTTAACGCCATAAACTCTACTATTGTTTATTGTCTACAAATAAGTTCTACAATTCCAACAACAAGGCCTTGTTTCAATTTTATGAGATATTGCGTGAACAGTTATCACACTTAACACTTCGCAGGGAAAAAAATCGGTCCTGATATCATAGATACGATTCGTGCGAATCATGATTAAAATTATATAAAATTACTTCACAAAATAATAGTACTGATTTTAAAAATAAATCTAACGGCAATAACCGAAAAGACAAGAAGCCCTTTCTCATATTGTACCATCGCATTACACTGTATAGATGAACTCCGTTAGCATTAACAAAATCAAATACGTATTTCATACATTTTTGTCGTTTATTTATTGTTTTTCAATTATATAAACCAGATGAACTTTCATCAGCACTCAATTAAATGGCAGTCAAACCTGATTCATTTTTATTGTGGATCCAATTTACGAGGTAATGCAATTTTATAAATCTATTGAAAGAGCCTATCACTAATAAAGTGTGTAAATAGGGACAAATAAGCCTATTTGAATCATAAGGGACTATAACTGGAACCGTCGTTGGGCCACTGTTAGCGAAATTGCATTATCAAATCATAAGGATCTGATTGGAAGTGACCCAACTATTATTGGGAAACAATATCATTTCAAAGGTTTAGAGATGTTTTCAAATAATTCAATAAAATTATTAAAGAAATATTTGTTTTATAAAGGAATATATAATTTCCTATTTGATTTATTCCAAGTGAACGTTTATGAAATATATTTATCCTGTATTTAATTATTTGTATGGTAATTTCAATGTTTTAGATATAGTGAAAAATGAACTGTAAAAATGTGTGATTTTTAATTGTTTCAGAATATAAGAGTTTTATAAATAATAGTGTTTCAATTTCAATTAAGTAAAAAGAACTAAAAAAGGTAATAAAATGTTTCACTTTATTTAGTTTAATAATAATTACATATGTTTAATAAAAAACTTACGAAAATAAAGATGATAAAGGAGAGGTTGACAGTGGAACCTTAAAAAACAAGTCATTTTAAAATGCACTTGGTGTTTTCCCCTAATAAAATTATATTGATGACCTTTATAAGAAGTTAACCATTATTATAAGATTTGTTTAATCATTTCTAAGACCCGTTATCGAGGTAATATAATACGATCATATCCAAGAAAAACCATTTTTCCTTACGTACAATTTTACCCAGCAATCAGACAACTTCACAAGGCCTTTTTCAGAATAGATAGGTTTTTGATTATTTGAAAACAAGGAAAAGGACAAACAGGAGCTTTGAGCTCTTTCTGAGAACCATTGAGTGCAAGATCAGATACTCAATTCGGAACTTTGATAGAAAACCAACAATATATTAACGTATCTCTTGGAAGACATTATCTTTACTATTCAAGATACTTGATATTGATGTTTTATTTATTTATTTTTTATTTATTTAAGTTTTACCAAAAACAAGAACAATACCAAATATTGTTAAGGAATTTACGCACCAAAATGAATATTCTTTTAACTTTTCTACAGCATGAACATTTTCAGTTTTTTACTAATGTTTTTACATTAATGTAGTTAAAGGTATGAATATCTTAAGTATTATTAATAAAATTTCATTGAATTACTAATTCCAGTTAACAATGTGCAGTACTGCAGTATGTGTTTGTAGGGCTCGGATCCATAGCAGCGATGTCGTGTGTTCGAATCCTTGTTTCTGCCGCAACATTTCAACAAAATAGTTCATTCCCAGTAATATAACGGTTCACCCCTTGCTTTGCTGTATACGATTCGTGCACGAGCCGTTGGGTTGGGTTAATGTAGACAGGAAAACGCATGAAAGAAGCCACCGACCTCTTGAAAATAATAGAAAATATAAAAAGGTTTTAGCTGTAAAAAGCATCATCCCAAGTTTATTACAATTTTCAGACCAATGCGTAAACATAATAGACAAAATCATGATAAAAGAGGTCGTAAAAACAGATGACCACATTGGAACCCTAAAGCTTGGATTTGTTCTGGGGTGGGGAAAGAATTGAATGTTTATGCTACACTGGCTTGCCAGTAAACATTAATGTTATGCCGGTTTTTATGGAATCTCTGACATTAATAAAATGTAAATTGTATGATGTTATTGCTAAATTAATTTACTCAATACAACATTTTATCACTGACATTCATATCACTTTTTAACTGTATTTAACTAAAGATGTTACTGACTTAATAAATATATTTCAAGAACCCTTAAATTTAATCTTTTTAGTTTTGTAAATCAAATTTAGACCGGTTGAAACAACAAATAGGTGACTAGATAAAGACAAAAATAGACTAAAGAATGGCTTAACTAGCGTCTGCTTTTTGAATAACTAGATGTAAGGGAGAGCTGTTCAAACTAGTCTGTTGGTAAAAGGTGCATCTTGTAATCTTAATGCCAAACATAATAATAGATCATTTGTTAAAGTGCACAGCTCTTGTAATAAATTGCATCCGAAAATAAAGTATATATAAAACCCATATGATTGACAACGTATTGAACGTTCAACTGCTGGTCTGGTTTGATAGTAAGGTAAGTTATATAGTACAACTAACAATATGTCTCTGTCAATCTCGTACTACTCTGTGTACACAGCAAAGTGACACAGAAGTGTGGAAATGACACCTGCTGATGGACTACATATCACACGCCCTGTACCTTCTCATGAGTGACAGTGAAGTGAGATGTATACGCCGATATAAAATATATATGTCTGTCAGTTTACCTTTCTAAACTGCAACTAGTGCTGCTATTATTGCTTGTTTTCTTGCTTCAATTTTACTACACCTACTACATGAAAATACAACGATTTTTTTTTAATATTTGGTACTTATATCTTAAACGTTGCCTCTAGTATATATTTTCTTTGCCATGGAAAAGCTCCTTTACATCCACAGACAACGAAGGAGGTTTTATTTAGACAATTCTAATGTTATACTGTCTTTAGTAAATTAA